GCTTCCCGACCACATCCCTCTGCCTCCTGTTTCTCGAGTCTACAGGCCCACGTGTAGCAGCTGTACGGGGGCTGCCCTGAGGTAGCACTGTTGAGTCACACAGGACACGCCGTCAGGGTCCACAGCCCCAGTGATGTCCCTCTGCCCTGTGGGCGTCCCATGAAGCAGGCCCCCCACGTAGGGGGCATGGGTGAGGTTGCTCTTGAGACAATGATTTGAGACTTGTCCTGTGTTCATTGACCATTTCTTCACCCTTCCCTTAAGTGGCCTGTTGACATCTGCCGCCCCTTGATGATCATCGGGAGTGTTGTCCTCGCAGCTGGGTCTTCCGCATGTGATGGCCACAGGCAGCTGTTGGTTGTATGGCTCAGACACCACGTCAGCTGACTGCCTGTCATCTCTTTTGTTAGGTTTCTGTGTTTCTGATTTCTGTGTGTTCAGATGTATACTTTCCTTTATGGTATGTGCTCTTTGTTTCTGTCTCAGAAATCCTTCCCTGGCTGGAGGTTATGAAGGGCTTCCCCCTTTCCTCCTGAAAGTCTCGATTGTGTGCTGCTTGTGTTCAGATCTTCCACCTGCTTGCAGTGGTCATTGAGTGTGGGCTGAGGGGGATCCAGCCTGTTTTGCCACTGTGTATGATCAGTGGCCATCGGCATTGAGTGACCGCCTGTCTCACCCTAAGGGATGTGTGTTGTCCCTGCCACACACACCATGCTGTCTCCAGGGCACAGTACTCCCCGGGTTCCCTCTGCGCAGCTGGCCTTTCTGGCTCCTCCCTGCAGGACCCAGGCTTTGTGACAAGACGATATCCGGGTATGCACATCCCAGGTGGCAGTGCTTAGCTTTATGCTCTTCCTTGTGAATTTTAGGAATTCCACCTTTTTTCCAAAGATAAGTTTTTTCCTCCTCGGCCACAGTTTACCAACATATCTTAACTGTTTGGGTTTTTTGATTGTGTTTTGTTTTTTTACTTAAGGTTTGTGGCTCTTCCGAGATTCGTCTTCTAGTAATTATTTCAACAGAGACTTGTGGGGCGGATATCTTGAACCTGTCTAAAAATGCCAAACTGCCTCACTCCTGAGATTCAGTTCCACCATTCCCCAGTCCTTTGAGGGGATTTTGCCATTGTCTTTTAGCGTGGCCTGTGCTGAGAAACCTACTTCCTGCCAAGTTTCATATTTATTTTTAAGTAATGCCTTTTCTTCATGGGTTTCATATTTTCCCTTTGTTCTCAATTTTGTATAGTTTCTCCACAAGATAGGTCGAGGTGTGATCCATCCTCCAGGCTCTCAGCTCACACCTGAGCCTGGGCCCTCCTCAGTGCCCCCACATTCCCTCCAGCCCTGCTCTGGAACTGCTGGTGGCCACACGTACACCGTCCCAGCCCGCCCTGCAGCCTCTGGACACTCGGGCAGCGTCCATCCCTCATGTGTCTGGACAGCCCCTGGGGGCTGCCTGCAGGGCGACTCCCGATCACCAGCCCTTCGTCCCTCTGCTGAGCTTATTGTAGTTGTGTCCTTTTTCCCAAGATTTTTTTCCAAGATTTCACATTGGTCCCCCCCCTTTTTTTAACCAGCATTACCTGTTCTTGCTGATGGGTATTATTCCTTTGTCTGCAAGGATCTTAAACATATTCTTGATTGAAGTCCTTGCTGGACTGCTCAGTTATTTCCAGTTCTTTGGGAGCAAGTTCTCTTTGTGGTGGGAACGAGGTGCTGTTCCTTTCCTCCTGGGTGCCCACGCACCAACACCACGGCCCTGGGGGTGTCAGATTCCCCCAGGGAAGGGCTTGGCCGGGGCCTTGGCTGCCTCTGCCCCTCACCTCGGAGGCGCCCCTGGAGCCTGGCCCTGCCATCCATGGGCCTCGGTGTCCTGGGTCCCATACTCGGGCCCCAGCAGCCTGTGAGCGTCCCCGGAGCCTGGCGAGCTGTGGGCCCGGCACTTCCCCAAGACTTCGCGGCGAGTGTGGGTCCTCCACCCCTGCTTGGTGTGCTTGTGGGGAGAGGGAAGACTTGCCCGGGAGACCTGGCTCTCCCAGAGGACGGGTCCCTTTCCCCGAGTGTGTTCTGACCACTTGAGATTTCAAGAACCGACACAGAATCGAAAAGCAGCATCGCTCACACACTGGGACAATTGGGCTTATACTGCGATGTGTGAAGAACTTGTTCGATCTGTGCAGTGTCATCATTAACCTTTCTTCTCATTGGTTTTAAAGGTGGAGAAAATCAAACTTCTTTTGCGAAATGTTGACCTGATGGACATAAAGGTCGGATCGGTGGAGGAGTTTCAAGGGCAAGAGTATTTGGTTATCATCATTTCCACGGTGGGTAGCCCTGTTTCTACTGGGGTCGCCAGTGGGCTGTGAAGTCACTCGCTGTCTGTGGGTGAAGTGGCCGAGGCTGTTTTGTGACGCAGAAGCAGCTGCGGGGTGGGGGGGCGCTCTGGACCAGTGCCAATATCAGCAGTGGCTGTGGGAAGCCTTTAAAGAAACACTCAGAAGGATGCAGAAAAGGGGTAGGAGAAACAGGAGAGGGCTGGAGGGGGAGGGAAAGCTGCTGAGGGCACAGAGCGAGGGTGCGCCATGAGCACCCGTCCTGACCCGCCACCGGCCCAAGCCACGTGCACATGCGCGCAGGGCCTCCCGCCGGCAGACATGCTGCCACGAGCTCCGCTCCTCCTCCTGCTGCCTTGGAGCCAGGTGGGATCCCGCTGCTTGTAACTGCCCCAAATGTTACTTCAGGCCAGATGGTGTCCTCAGGCCCCCAGAAAACTTGCACCATCCATTTTATTGTCTTTGTGTCTTTTAGGTGCGGTCAAATGAAGACAGATTCAAAGATGATCGATACTTTTTGGGTTTCTTGTCCAACTCGAAGAGATTTAATGTTGCAATCACCAGGCCCAAAGCTTTGCTGATCGTGCTGGGAAACCCCCACGTTCTTGTCCAAGTGCGTCTGCAGACCCTGGCCGCTGGCGGGGCTGGGGAAAGGCCCGGTGGCCCAGGATGGGTGCTGGTCCACCTGACCCTGGGGCCATGGACCGCAGACATGGGCCTTCGCCCACTTAACACCAGGCTGCACTTGTGTCCGCAGGATCCCTGCTTTGGTGCTCTGCTGGAATACAGCATCACGAATGGGGTTTACACAGGCTGCAACCTCCCGCCCGAGCTGCAGCCACTGCAGAGGTGAGTGCTTCCCTGCCTCCCTAGAGGATGTGCTGGCTTCGGGACTTGCCAACCCACGACCCACACCGCCACACGCACAGCCTCAGGCCCCGCCTGGCCTCCTTCCTCGGATTGTCCTGGCTGCGGTGGCCACTGTCTCCTGACACTTGGTCGTGTCAGCCTCTCCTGCCCAGCCTGAAGGGGCAAACAGTGCGCTGTAAAGCCCCCCCGGGGAAAGGAATGCCGCCTGCACACATCCCATGGGGAGCCTGACTCGCTTCCTGTCTGCTTCTCCGCCTGCAGCTGCGGCTAGCTGGTGCCCCTCCTGCCCCGTGGTGCTGGGATCATCAGGACCAGAGACGTGTGGGGCGGCCACGTGCCTCGCCGGCAGGCCCCTCAACTGGACCTGGACTAGCTCCGTTTCTGTGTGTCCCATGACTCCTGTCCCTGCCCTTGTCCCTCAACCATGGCTGCGTGCAGGGGCGGGGACCACTGGTTGTCCGAACTGCTCCTGTCCACCCTGACCTCGGCACGCACTGGCCTGTTGCTGCCTCAGGATGGCCACTGCTGCTGCCACCCCAGAAATAAATGCTCGAGTGACCCCAGCTGCCTTTCCACCTCAAGCGACGCACCCATGTCAGCGACAGCCAGGTTTTCACACAGCCTCTGACCCCTGCTGCCCATGCATCTGTGGAGATGGCCCCCATACTCTCTCCCAGTCTTGAGCCAGCTGTGCGCTGGGCTCCAGGCAAGACCTCCAGCTCTGCTCAGTAGGGAGCCGTGGGCCCCTGTGCAGAAGCCCGTGGTGTCTGAGGCTCTGCCTGGGGTACTCAGGCCTGCCCTGGGCCCAGTGCTTTCGGGAGGGGCAGCTGCCTGGGATCTGCTGCAGCCGCTGGCCTCACGCCCCACCACTCCTCGTCCTCTAGGCTTCACTCCCAGGAGAGAGGTTTGCTCTGTTTCCCTTGGATGTGGCTTCTGCCTCGGGAGCAGAAGCCACCGTGGTCTGCAGAAGTGCCCGGTGGCATCTCTCCACCGGTCTGTGGTGGCACGCATTTGGATCCATGGCTCCTGGAAGCGTGGCGGGGGGGCGTTGCAGGCAAATGGTCTCTGCGTGAAGCGTGGACAGCAGGTGGGCAGCCCTCCGCGTGAGCTGCTGCATCTAGGAACCAAGGGCTTCTCCAGAAGGAGCTGCTGGGTGCTCGGAGCCCAGGCAGAGTCCCCAAGGCCGAAGTCAGCAGCAGCCCGTGCTCCTGGGCAGAAACACTTGCTTGCCTGGCAGGAGCCTGGCGTAACAAGGGAGCTCACAGCCTCTAAGCGCCCTCCTGCCCCCAGCAGGAGTGATGGGCCGGTGGAGCCTGGGAGACAGCTGTCAGGCCCTATGCACCAGCCCCGCGGCTCTGCAGGTGGCAAGTTCCCTCCATACTAGCAGGCATAGCTGCCATAGAGTGCCAAGGAATTGACTCTTCCCAAATCCAGGAGCAAGCACAACGTCGAGGAGAGAGCCCCTCATGGCAAGTGGGGCTTCCAGGGAGTTCTGTGCTCACCAACACCTGAAGCAGCTGACAGTGGCAGGCACTCAGGTGGGTGTAGTCCCACCAGACTCAGGATTTCAAAGCCAGGCATGGTGGCTCATGCCGGGAATCCCAGCATTTTGGGAGGCCAAGGCCGGAGGGTTGCTTGAGGCCAGGCTGGGCAGCATTAGGGAGTCAAAAAGCAAAACTTAGCCGACTGTGGTGGTATGCATCTGTAGTCCCAGCTTCTCGGAGGATCATTTGAGCCCAAGAGTGTGTGGCTGCAGTGAGCTGTGACCCTGTCACTGCACTCCAGCCTGTGACAGAGTCAGACCCTGCCTCTAAATAAAAGCGCCAGGAGCCATGACTGTGGACCCAAGTTTGGGCCTGCATCCCTGCCCCGGTCAGCCCGCCCTCTGGGAAGCCAGGGCCAAGGGTCAGCAGCCCGGGAGCCCTCGGGAGCTCGGCGGCCGCAGACCCCAGAGCGGAGCGCCAGCCCCAGCCTCTGGCCTCGGCCTGCACAGTGGTGTGTCCCCCGGGCCAGTGCCAGGTGTGCTGAGGAAGCCAAGGGGCCGGTGGTGGGTGGGGAGGTGGCAGGGGCAGGACAAGGGCTGGCTGGGGATGTGGGAGCCCAGCGGCCACGCAGGACCTGAGAGTCACTGCCCTCCTGCGCAGGTGCTGTGGGCGTGGCGGTGGAAGGGCTGGCCTGGGACGTGGCCTTGGACGTGGGCTTGGACGTGGGGCCTGCTCAGTTGAGGCACTGCCTCACAGAAGCCTCGCAGGGCTGTGGTGCCGGCCAGAGCTGCAGGTGTGCCACTCCCCACTGACACTGCCTGGCAAGGCACAGGGCGGGGCACAGGCCAGGGTGGGGGCAGGTAGGAGAGTGCCCCCCCC